TATTTTTAGCGGTCTGAGTTTCTAGTATTCATTCATTCATTCAACCATGGAGAATTGCTTTCGCACTCCTTTATTTGGGACACTGCAGAACAGCTTCTCTCCCATGGTGCATGTCAGAACTGAAAATTCTGTGCGGCTGCCACAAGGGGGCGTATTCCGACAGTCTTGTCTAAAGCCTGATTTATACTTCTGCGTCAAGTGACCGGCGTAACCCACGGCGCATGCAACATGCGTAGCTGTGCATTTACACTTCTGCGCGCTGTCTCTGTTGGCCTGTTAACACTTCCGAAACGCTAGTGGGCAGTGAGGTGTAAATGCTCCTCTGTGTCGAGTTTCTTCGCTGCTGTTTTGCTTTTCCTGAACACTTCCTGAATGTACAAGTGGCTCAAACTCGCTCATTTTGAGGCAGGAACCGGCGGACGTGCAACAACTTTAACTATGAGGTAAACACAAACAAAACTTTCCATCCGGAGCTCCTTCACGGGACTCCACACTTGTAAACAATCGCTCCATTGGGCTAGCACCGCTTGCGCGGCTCTCGGTCCCGCCCAGACTCGTCAGCGCTACCAAGCCGACCAATCACAGAGCTTGCACTATGCGTTGCTGCGACGTGTAGTTACAATTTTTGAGAGGTGCACGTCAGAGACGCCGACGGCCACGGCGAAGGGCTATGCGTCAACGTCGTAGCATACGCGTGCGCTTGACGCAGAAGTATAAATCAGCCTTAAATGTCATGTGCAGTGGAAAGGCGGCTTCACCGGCTGCGTCTGAAATCACCTAATACTCAAGTATGCACTCCATTTTAAGTTTGAATTACTACACTACTGTTAATATAGTAGGGGAATCACATCATCTCTGAGACTGACGGATTTACAGACGTTTGAGGGGTTTGATGCTGACGTTCTGCACCCTCAGTCTGTTTTCATGAGTGGGTTATTTTGTAGACGGAGGGTCAGATGTGGCAGAACTTGATGAAAGTCCAGTGTGCTTACAGCAGGGGTGTCCAAACTCTGTCATGGAGGACCGGTGTTCTTGAGAGTTTAGCTTCAACTCTAATCAAACACACCTAAACTAGCTGATCAAGCTCTTACTAGGTATATTACAAAGCTCCTGGCAGGTGTGTTGACCAAGTTGGAGCTAAATTCGGCAGGACACTGGCCCTCCAGAACCGAGTTTGGACACCCTTGGCTTACAGCATGGAATAGCCATCACTTGGATTAAAGAAACAAATAAATAAAAACCTATTGCTGTTTCTGAGCGGCTCAGTGGTTAGCGCTGTCACCTCACAGCAAGAAGGTCACTGGTTCCAGTATATATTTTTATATAATATAAAGTTGACCTCTGAGGCAGTTCAGACCTGTTGTGTGATTTTTCTGGTGTGTGTGCTGTGGGTTTATCTGGGCTTCAGCTCACCAGTAGCGTTTGCTGATCTGAGGGAATGTTCAGGTGTTGAGCTGCTCCTTATATCTGTGCACACACACGCACACACACACACACACACTCCTGCTGCCAGAGCAATGGGGGAATAAAGAGGCTTATCTGCTCTGAGCTCAGATCACGCACATACACGCACGCACGCACACACACACACACACACACACACACACACACACACACACACACACACACACACACACACTTGTTGCTGTATACCAGTTGGGAACTCTCACTGACCTAATGATGTTTCTACATCACAGATTTTAATCTAGGATTTCAGGAATCTTTTAGGATTTCCCAAATCTCGACGATCAAATCGTGGCTGAATTGAGCAATAAGGATTTGATCTTGGAGAGTTGCCTCAGCTTACCCTTAGGGCTGGGACACACAATTTTTTTGTCCTAGCCCTATCCTAACCCTAACCCTACTAAATCAATCTGTTCATCCAGCTTAAAATCACAATCCTAGGGTATCAGTGGGGTCTTAAAAGCCTTCAATTCTAAAAAACAGAATTTAAGGCCTTAAAAAGTCTTAAACTTATTGAATTATTGGGTTGTAGGTCTTAAAACTTTTATTAAACAGCTCTTAATTATCCTTTGTCCATGTGTAGCTACCTAATCTGGCCAACTGCCATCCAGTCACCAACATCCATCTCAAAACATTTAGCTTTTTGTTTATAAAATGTTTATTTGGCATAATGGTTTAATTATTATTAATTATTTAACATTTGTTTAAAAGGTTCTTATGTATATACTGCTCAGGGCACAGACTTTTGCACATAAATTTAGTTTATTAATGATTTTAAATAATATTTATATATATTTTTAATTTTAAAGAAAGTTTATGTTGAAAAAAAGTCTATGAATACAACTAGAGCTTGCTTGTTTTGCACAATATTTAAGATGTTTTGCTAAGAAATATATAAAATATTATTTTTTTAATTATTAAATAGTTTTTGTATTATTAAATTATTATAATTTTTTAATAGAGCAAAAAATATATTTTTAATTTTGTTAATAAACATATTTTTGTTTACATCTGGACTAGGGCTGGGCCAAAAAACAATATTATATCGAATCGGGGCAAATTTTTCAATAACAATGATAAGCTCTGGACTTTTTTTATTCTAGATTGATCTAAGAGCCAATCATTTAGCACAACTCTGCAACGATGGGAATCTAAAAGTGTGTTGTTATTGGAAATGTACTGAATTTTTGGCCATTAGAAATTTATCAGCCTAAAATGTTTTGCCCTTTAATGGAACCTCTGATTTTGTAGCTTCAGTCATTTTTGGTTTACTCTTTTAAATATGGAGGCATTAACAACTGATATCAAAATATATATTGTTATCATTCAATATGGAAAATAATTATCGAGATTGTAATTTTGCCATATCGCCCTGCCCTAATCTGCACCATTGAAAAACTCCATAACTTTTAGTCCTGTCTGAGTGTTAAATGTCATTCATATTAAACAAACACTGTAATAAATGGATCGTTAATTGTTTACTCTTGTTGGTAAATGCATTAAAGAGCCCCTATAATGCATTAAGATTGCCATATATTGGTCTCCGTCAACAGGCTGGTACGCATGCAAGGTCAAAAACACTTTCATTGTCTTATAATATGCATTTATTTTACCTAATTATGCCAGCGACTCCCATACAGTTTTCCCCAAACCCCTCGCGGTGATTGGTCTGATGACCCAGTCTGTTTTGATTGGTCGACTGCGTTCAGCAGGAGACAGAGAGAAATGCCCACCAGGGCTTATCAACATTGTTGAAGTAGTCAGAGTGTATGTGTGAGCCCAATGTCTGAGTGCAATAAAGCAATGCAGTTTAACACCCGCATATTAGTCTACTCTTAACCATGTGTTCAGTATTAATTCACACAGCAAAAGCTGAACTATTTTTAAATTTGACTTAAAAATGTCTTAAATTGAACTTTAATTAAAATATCTTTTTTTTTTTTTGGTTTTAAAGCTCCTATATTCATGTCAGGAGGCGCACGGACATCCCCTAGAGTAAACACTATGATCTCTCCTCACTGAACTTAAAAAATATCTGTTCTCCAGGCTTTAGTTACTTCAAAACAACATAAAAGTGGTGTAATTAAGTGTGTGTGTGTGTGTGTGTGTGTGTGAGTGTGTGTGTGTGTGTGTGTGTGTGTGTGTGTGTGTGTGAGTGTGAGTGTGAGTGTGTGTGTGTGTGTGTGTGTGTGTGTGTGTGTGTGTGTGTGTGTGTGTGTGGTCATGTCAGGTCAGTGCAGCTGACTGTCAGACTGGAGGATTGTTTCTCGGTAATCTTGTGACTAAGACTGGATTTGAAACACTGATCTTAAAGCTCTCTTTCCCTTGAACACACTCCTCACTGCGCCTTCCTGAAAAACACGTGCCTTTTTATAGCACCTTATTGCAGCTAATATTTGATAAGAGAATGTGTGTGTAGAAAGCAGAGGTGTGTTAATGTGTGCGTGTCTTGTGTTCAGGTTCAGATAATCTGGCACGCTGCGGGGCTCTGGAGAGTTTGGTGGAGAGCAGCATTCTGGACGACACGTGGGACGATAAAGCTGCAAACCGAATGAGCACCATCCGCTTCATGGAGGACGATGATGATGAAGACGATGAAGAGGTGAGCAAACTGAAGATCTGCAAGGGCTCATGAGTGTTTCTGGAGTTTTCAAAAGGCCTATTCCAGATATTTAGGGTGTACTCACACTAGGCTTCATTGTCTTGAACCGTGCCCAGGCGCGGTTGTTCCCCCTCTCCTCTCCCTTTCTGCCGCACTCGCACTGCATTTTACCTTCCGAGCCAGAGCATGCTTACATCATCGATGATGCGACTGTTCAGTTTAACAGAATAGAAGTGTTCTCGCTCCGCACAGTGGAGATTGCTTTATTTATATTGTTCTGTATTATCTTGTCGTTTGGGAGGCAGTGACACACTTACCAATATTTTGCGGAACAGATCCACTACTTTTGATGCTCATAAATGAATATAAAAGTCCTGGTGCTGGAAGAATTAGGAGGTTTGCTGAAGGCGCAGCTGAGGGGTTTGGATCTTTAATAAACTTTGACAGTTTGCGTTCATTGAACATTAAGAATGATTAATGAATCCATATGAAAGTGACGTCTTGTCTTTAGTTTTGGGCTCAGGTGCGTTTGCACCCACACTACAAGCATACCGTGACAAAGCCCTTGCACACCTGATCCAACCGGGGCTGGACCTGATTCAGAGTAATCACACTTGTCAAACAAACCAGGAAATGGGGGTCAAACGTGGGCACAAGGAAATTCAAGGAATTAATATATATATATATATATATATATATATATATATATATATATATATATATATATATATATATATATATATATATATATATATATATATATATATATATATATATATATATATATATATATATATATATATATATATATATATATATATATATATATATATATATATATATATATATATATATATATATATATATATATATATATATATATATATATATATATATATATATATATATATATATATATATATATATATATATA